GCCAGGGTCAACCCACCACATAGGGTAAAACTGTTCTGAAGGATTCAAGCGCTGCTTTTGACACAACAGGTGATTTTCTTAAACTTTTATTCCTGAAGAACATTTATGGCAGTAATTACAGAATGTCAAACTGAAGAACTCTACCTCTGGGACACAGAATGACTTTTAACCCTGCTCAGCTTTGCCTTGTCATATGTTTAATAATAGTAGTAGTAGTAGTAGTAGTAATAATAATAATAATAATAATAAAAAAAAAAATGATAATGATGTCAGCCTGGGCTGAAGGGATACTCTGCTGGTAGTCAGAGAGAAAGCAAGCAGTACTGGAGATGTGGCATACCTCTTGTATTCATATTCTGGTACCAGGCTGAACTACAAGGTCACTTTTAGCCAAGCTCTGATGAAAGCCAGGATTCTTTGGTGATGTTGAAAAGGGCAAGAGGCTAATGCAGGCATAACACACGGACATATTGGTTTGTGCTGAACCCATCACCTGTATTTGTCACATTTTTTGGATAAAATTAAAAAATCTTTGCATTTACAATCAGGAAAAGAATAGCAAATGCCTTATTTATAGTGTCACTGAGAAGATCTGTTATGGCTTCCACACCTCAGCAATTAAGCCCGTTACATGCGTGAGAAATCCTTTAACGCAAACTAGGGGTAACTGCCAGATCTGAAATGTGGGATGCACCATATAGAGTACAGGCAAGTTATAGTAGGCAAACGGTGACTCTGAAGGGGTTAGAGAGATGGTAGGTGACCAAATGGATATGGAACTTCCCAGCCAATGCAGCTGCCAATGCAGAAGATGATTCTTGTATTATTTTAAAAGATTATTAAGTCAGAAATCATATTAAGTCTGAGTTGGACACCTATGGCATTATTACAGGAATAATATGTGAAGTTTTGATACCACATTTGGAAGGTAGAAAGAGATCAGAAGTGACAAAAATGAGACACAGATCAGGAAAGCATGTGTTATGACTCTTTATCTTAAGATTTTTATCTTACCTTATTTTATCTTAACTTTATCTTATGATATTCTTTAAGATGTGTATGAGTCATGATAGAAATGAGATTCTTTATTCTAGATTAGAAAAATGTAATAAAATAAAAAATGACTGAATCTAATGCCAGAAAAATTTCAACTAGATATAAGGCAAAATTAATTAAAAATTGAACACCTTATAAAAAAGCAAGTTAACTTTCATCACTCAAAGTCCTGAAAGATAAAATAATGTACTGTAGATCAGCCTAAAAGTATTTGCTTGGTGTAGTTATCATTACTAAAACCTAGATGCTATTCAGGAATTCAGACCAGATAGCTACGGTGCCCCATCTGTCCTTAAAATCATGCCTCAATAAAGATTCCTGGAGAATGCAAGTTAAATCCTATATTATCCCTGGGTACTTTCTTACGATTAGTGGATCAAAATAGAATGAAGGAGATGTATGAAAATAATTTTCTGTTGTAAGCAATAAACTGTGTGCAGAAAATCTATCTAGTTAATTAAGTAACGGTTGGAATTCTTTTATAAACAGAAGGAATTTTGTAACATAATAAAGTAAGCACTAGGATACTGGATTTTACATTACATGACTAAATACTATTTTTGGAGTACATTCTGTCACTACCATGTGCTCTTCTGAATTACTATATTCATGGGCAGAATAAATGCTATGATTGCAACATGAGAGGGATGAATTTAACAGAAATTTACTACCTGCGTATGCAAGAACATTAACTACCACATGCATTTTCTTCACGTCTCTACAACCAAGCAGCCAAAGGAAATACAATGAACGCTTCTTACTGAAAACCATTTTCTTAAAACAACTTTGAGCTTAAGGAATGAAAAATCTTACCTGTAAACATATTGCCAGGTTAACTCTACAGCCAAGTGATGTGCTGACAGCCCGTGGATGGAGACCAAGGTCTTTAAATAATTTTGAAAATGACTGAGTAAGAGCTATCCGAGGTCGTTCTTCAGCCACTACTACACACGTCCGTACACGTGAAAGGTCCAGTCCCCTTGCCTAAAAAGAAGTTAAAATGTAACAAAGGCCAAAAATGGAGAGATTTAATGAAAAACACTTAGTAGGACTTAAGTGTATTATGGAGGTATTATGATTCAAGAGGAATAGTGGAATAAAGGCTAAGGTGCCAGTATCATTTCCATCTTTCCTGGAGGTCGGATGGCCAGATGACAGTCTAATAGCTGTAGAAGAGCGTATCCTCTCAAAATTAGCCCATAGGAAGAGATGAGTATGCTAATTCTGAAGGGAGGGAATGCTGTTTCCCAATATTAGTTCAGAAAGCCAGTGAATAATAGCAAACAGGAAGCAGTGTCTAGCCTTGGAAAAACTGATTAGGAAATTATTAAGTGAGCAGGGTAAGGGCTGGAGACATCATAAATATCAGTATCCCAAGATCTAATTTATTTCAGTAGCATATTGGAAATTCTAGATGATTTCAGAAATATAACTGCCTACCTGGCTTTTAATTCTGGTGGGAAAAAAAAAAGAAGATATACACATCTCCCCCTCCCCGTACGATGAGGACAATCCAGTTAAAATAATACGGTGCTTTTAAGTATGTGATTATTTAACTACAGGGACCAAAACCAAACTTGTACTTCATATAATCAGGGAATTCATAAAACATAATATACAATATAATACTCCTCGGGCCTTTTGGATATTTACACCTGTTGTCCAACACTTGCCTATCAAGACAGGCTGCAACACAGATCAGAAAGCTTAGGTAAATAAAAGCCTTTCCACAGGCTTTAAAAGCCCTGTGATCTGAAAGAGAATGACTGATATTCATATATAGCCTTTGGCAAGGAAGAACTTCGGTTCTGTGGAAGCTGCCCTTGCCCTCTGATGGTTTTCTTCTCGCTGCAGACATTTAGCATAGCCGTTCACGGCAGGGAAGGCTCTCAAACACCACCGTGCAGGTGGCAGGTTGTGCAGGACGACAGAATTACTCACCTTCAGCGACTCTGTTTGTGAACCGAGTCCCTTAGTACAAAGTTCCATGACTGAATAGGAACAAAAAGTGTCTCTCACTTTGTACTGACTCACGGCAAGAAGCCACAGAGCGGGATTGGTCTCCAGTTCTGAGGGAGGAATCAAAATAGACTGGTGTCCTGAATAAACGCTGTAAAGACACAAGATTCATTAACACATGCTGAACGCCTGTGTCCACAGATGCTTACAAGCTATGAGGTACTACAATACCAAGTTTATCACAGTGCTGGATGAACCACGTAATGTTTTAACAGTGCTCTACAGCTCCAGAAGAAGTTTAACTCTGTTTTTTGCTACACTTTCAGAGTCTGTGAGGAATCACAAGGAATGCAGGCAGAACATGCTCCTAAAATACTAATTTACTCAAAATGCCCATGGACTTTGCTGTTAGAACTGTACCAAAGAGGGCAAAATAGCTCAGTTATTAATGGTGCTAATAAACAGTATTATAATATCAACAAAAATTATGTGTTGCTGACAAATAATTAAGATTGAGTAATTGCCATTTTAAGATACCTTGATTAAAAGAGTGCTTGATTGCTTAATATGGAAATAACCTCTCTCCTGCTGAGGCAAGCAAGAGTTTTGCAATCATTTTCAAGGGAGTAAATCTGGCCCCAATTTAACAATCCTTGTGGCTTTAAATTTCTTTGGCAAAAGTTTTATGAACTTTTAAAACCCAAATATACTACATCTCATTTACTGGATACCCAGTAAGCATAAGTATTGAGAAAAGACACTTATCAGGGTCCCTGAAGGAAACACTTATGTCAGAGCTAATTTCTCTGGTACCCAAGAGTCTCCCCAAGGGAAAAAAATATTCCCAATTTGATGTCTTTACTTCCCATGGGTCCTATGTTGTTCACTCATCTCAGACAGGCAGATTTACCATCAATTTTACAGTCCCCCTCACATCTTAATTTGTGATTCATAGATATTTCAAATCAGAACGGTCATAGCATAAAACCCCCAAATCATATAAGCTCTGAGAAAGGACCATAAAGCCCCAGAGATTTATGATGCACATGAGAGATTCATTTGTGACTTGAAAACTTGAAATGCCAGCTTGGTAAAGTAAAGCTGACGTTTTCAAATCCAAGTGCCTGAGGTAAGGCACAAAATAGAACTTTATTTTCAGGAATATGAGCATCTCTGTAACATTTGACACGAGGAAAAAGACATACACCTTTGCAATTCCTGAAGATGCGCTGCTCACACAGCTTCCCTCCTTGGTGAGTGAGTGGCCCTACTCCCCCCAAACCCGGATGAGAGAGCTTTCAAATCTGTGCAATTTAGAACAAGGTTTGTATGACCTGGATGTCTGTACTTAGTATGATAAAGGCACAAAAGGTGCACAAGTCCAGCCACAATGGCAGTTAATAATCCAAACATTTTAGGTCTCTGCTGGAGTATGAGCCAGAGGATGTCATGGAATATGTATGAACTAGAGTTCAAATAATTTCATTTATCATACAGTAAAAATTTTATCTTTGATTGCTTGTCTACATTTACGCTACTCCTGATGATTCATGATCAGTGACTTGCCACGAGGCGATGTGTTCTCGGATACGGTTGACATAACGACTATAGCACAGAACGGTCAAATGAAGCGTTATGCTTTTATGTTGCTTTTATGGCATCAGAATAAAGTATGACTGAACCTTGAGCATGTGCTTCATAAACATGTGAAAAGAGATGTTGGCAAAGTTACCCAAGCCTGAAAGGAGTATGCCCTGAGCTCAAGTGACAGATCAAACCCAGCTAGGGAGTAGTAACAGTTTTTACTATAAATATTACTTCACTCTTTCTTTCTCAGCCAATTCTATTAAGTTTTTCAGAGAAGACTGAAAAGTTTTAGTTCTACACAAATTTAAGGTTAACAATCAAGGTGTGTTATCTGTCTGGTAAATAAATAATTCTTACAAACAGTAAGCTGCAACCACTCAAGTAAGAACCTGGGATGAATCTGGTATACAGAGATTCAGCATCAAACCCTTCCCCCCATCCCTGAACAACTCTACTTGATGCAACCAATATCAGGAGAAAAAAAAAAATCTGCACAATAATAAATAAGCTGCCAGGAGGTCAAATGTGGGAGAATTATGACTCAGAACCACATTAAGATCCCTTAAGTGCCACTTCTTCAATGGGGCAGAACATCCCCCAAAAAAATCAAAATCAAAAGAATGAACTTTATCCCTGTACTGAAAAGTGCCCACACAAACTCCACAGTAATACAGGAGGCAAAAAAGCTGCATTGCTTTCAGTAGAACAGAAAATTGATTCCAAGAGCACTTTACCTGGAAATAGTCCAAAATGGTGGACCAAAGACAAATATTTTCCCCCTCAGCAATACTAATGATTGGGGGTAAACTGACTCCATCTCTTGATCAACTTTTGCTGGACAAGTAAGAAAGATACTTTTGTTTGCTCTTAACCTCCCACCGACAGCCATGCAGCAAAGCATGAGGATTTGGATGCAAAATAACCTCATCCTCTCCAGACTGAGGGAAACAAACACTCTTATGATCAGACTTGGACTAAAAAAATCACTCTGATTAGACAGAAATAAATGAAGATGTTGCCAGTACCTTTTCTGAGTTTTCTAATCCCTCAGAAATACTGAGGAATTCAGAATTAAACTGCATCAGGAAATATCTAGAAAGAAGGAAACTTTCTGTGGTGGAGAACCTCAGACATGTGCTGCTCCTGTTTACAGTACATAAACCTACAGAAAGATGATACCTCGTCTGGAAACTTGATGACCAACACAGGCTTCGCCTACTGAGCTGTGGCTTAATAACCCATGCATACCATCTAATTTGCTAGAGCAGTTGGTGGAGCTGGGAGAAGAACTACAAAGAAATATTTCTGGGGTGAACGTGCCAGTTTCACAGCTGAAGTGGTTTATGCAGCACCTGGCCATCATGATGTCAGTCATAACTTGGCTCACCTCCCTGAATCAATCTCACAAAACATCATGTGGGTTTTGTTAATGACTCCAAGCAACAAAACGTTCCTGGTAGCCACATATCCTTGCAAAGTCACAGACTTTTTACTTCCATGTTAACCCTTGAGAAGCTGTACGTCACCAATGTTTTGGTTGAGAGAAGCTGACAACAAAAGAGATACTCCCTTGTAGAGCTGGTTGAAACATTTCTACCACTTCAGTTGCTTCAAATCACTGTGAGATGTTAGAGGGTGTTTGCTTAGTATGGATGTCAACAATCAAGCTGAGGACCATGCGCTTGAACAGACTGCAGTTGTGGAAGACTGCTTTGGAGATGCTGGGTAAGGCTAGATAGGGTTCCAAACCTATAGGTAGTTCTGTCAATGCTGCCTCTATGTAATTCAAGGTATGGTAGAGAGGTATGGTAGGTGCATCTAGGTATGGTACATTAAAGTTAATCCTGAAACTGAGGCACTGAACAAACAGACAGTTCCATCTCACCTTGAAATGCAATAGTCATCAAGACATGGTTAAGCTGTCAGCTTTGCTATTCTCATACTGAAAATAACAGAATTGTGGTGAACTCTGTGGCATTAGGGGGAATCAGATGGGATATTATGAAAAGTTGAGGGTTAAAATATAAATTGTGGAAGCAAGAATTACCATTCTGAAATTGCAACAATATATGATATATTGGAGTAGGTGCAAGAATTTAGTTACAGAAATACTTGGAAGGAATTGAAACAAGATTGTTTCTTCCAATGCTGTAGAAATCTGTTGTCAAAAAAGTAACTTCGTTTCTTGATGTAAGTCTTATAACAGGAGTAGACACAGTGCAGAACTGCAGAGACTACCTAACAGACCTGGACATCTCTTTTTCAGTCTCTCCATTTTTAGAAAATGCAAAAGGAGTAGGCAAAAAAGAAGACAAAAAAGGAGAGTGACTGTAGAGCATCCCTGCATCATCTTGTCACAATGACTTTTGGGATGCAGACGCAGAGTGAAATGCAGTGGTAGCTGAGGTGGGAGATCACCTTTTAGAAATGCTGTCTTCCTTTAGGGCTCTGCAAAGCAATCTAGGGAAAAAAAGAGTTTTCACATGGTGGACAAAGTCTTGGATTTTGGCAGTAAGTGAAGAGCCTTGTCTGCCTGCACTAAGCAAGGGCTGCCCAAGGACAGGAATACTCCAGCTAAATGCACCGGGATGTATTTTGGTATGACAACGCCATCTGATCACACCACCGGTTCCACTGCCTGGCAGGCTGTTTTGGCAGCATATGGAGATACCTGGAAGGACATCTTGGCAATTAACTGTTCCACTGAATCAAAGATTTACCCCATGTTGTGCTGAGGCAGATTAACAGTAAAGTCTGAGGTTTTATTATAGTTACAGAATTTTCAGCAGGGCAATAAATGCTGACAAATGGCAATTCCAATTTGCAATTGCATTCTGGCAGGCTACTGACCCGCCACTGCCCTCACTTCTGGTGTCCTGAGGTGATATGAGCTGATTTCCCACTTAACTCAGGAGGCAGGTAGGTACTGCTGAGTCTTGTAAGTATATGCATTTAGTTTCTGCATTTCTACAGATGATATCTGGCATATGGTGATGAGTGACAGGTATCGGGCATTTGGTAGAGCACGACATAATTGAGTTGCCATGCTCGTGATTCAAAGTCTGTGAAAAGAGTCTGCACATTGAGGGAACCTGAACGGGTCTAGGCAAAAGCCTTCACAATCATCTGGACCAGAGCTTGTAGGAAAGATGGTACAGACCACAGAAGAGTGTTTGGGCATATGTCTGATCGAGGCTTCATAAGACCAATTGGGCCAAAATTAAATCTTCAGTTCTGGAGACCCAGTACATGCACAAAAAAGGGGGCTTTTGGATAACAAGTAAAGGACCTCCCACCACCTGCAGAGTCCAAAGACGCCCAGATGGCATACAGCACACTAGCAGGATGACTGCACACGGTAAGCAGATAAGCAATCAGTACTGGAGAGAAGTTTAATGTACAGCAAAAGGGATCATTGTGTAGGGCACGTAGATTTTCCCAGAAAGGAAAAGATCTCACCCATAAATCTTGATAGGCTGCTGGTGCTAAGAATGGGTCCAGTCTTTACAACTTCCACATCAGAGTACTGGGAGCTGGTGAGAGCGGTGCCATAAGCCAGCACTCTGCTTTAACTCAAGCTCTGGCATTGGTACCCCAATCAGATGCCCGTAAGTCTTCAAAAGGCTTTAGCCTCCCCTTTCAGAGACATGTTTCAGCAATCTCTGAGCCTCACAAGGGAACTTTTCTAACATGGCTCCAGGTTGCTCCTCGGCACTTCTGAACTGATGTGTAACTTCTCACTGGGAAGCATGTGTTGACTGCTCCTGAGCACAAACACATCACCTGGCAGCAGCAGGAGTGGGAATTCAACAGTGACTTGGTGGAACTTCATAGAATCATAGATTGGTTTGGATTGGAAGGGACCTCAAAGACCATCTAGTTCCAACCCCCCTGCCATGGGCAGGGACACCCTCCACTAGACCAGGGTGCCCAAAGCACCATCCCACCTGGCCTTGAACACTTCCAGGGATGGGGCATCCACAACCTCTCTGGGCAACCTGTTCCAGTGCCTCACCACCCTCACAGAGAAGAATATCTTCCTAATATCTCATCTAAATCTAACCTCCTTCAGCTTAAACCCATTCCCCCTTGTCCTGTCATTCCATGCCCTTGTAAACAGTCCCTCTCCAGCTCTCCTGTAGGCCCCTTTAGGTACTGGCAGGCTGCTATAAGGTCTCCCGGGAGCCTTCTCTTCTCCAGGCTGAACAACCCCAACTCTCTCAGCCTGTCCCCATAGGAGAGGTGCTCTAGCCCTCTGATCAGCTTCGTGGCCCTCCCCTGGACTTGCTCCAACAGCTTTGTATCTTTCTTGTACTGGGGCCCCCAGAGCTGGATGCAGTACTCCAGGGGTCTCACAAGAGTGGAGCAGAGGGGCAGAATCCCCTCCCTTGACCTGCTGGTCACTCTTCTTTTGATGCAGCCCAGCACACCGTTGGCTTTCTGGGCTGCAAGAGCACTTTGTTGGGTCATGTTGAGCTTCTCATCCACCAACACCCCCAAGTCCTTCTCCTCAGGGCTGCTCTCAATCCATTCTCTGCCCAGCCTGACACAACTTGAACTTGGGGTGCTTAAGGACATTTCAACACAAAATCCCTTTATCAAAATACTTAAAGCAGGTGATCAAGATTTAAAAATTGGTTATGTTCATATCCTTTGCTTTCCATGTCAGAATTATCCTTTTCTGAGGTGGCATTTAGGCTTCTTTATGCAATCTTGCCTTGATTTTGCTATAAATGGGCTGGAAATTGGGTGAAATGCTCATGCCTGCCAGGTATCTTCAAGTTAACATAAAAGATCCTAACAATAATTAATGAGTCCTAGCACACTGAAGTTTTCTACAATGCAGTTCTCATGCTAATGCTGAAATTCCTTTCTTACTTCTTGCACAGTTCCACTTGTTTGCTTAACGAGAAACCTTGCAGTCTCTTGCTGCAGAAGCTACTCAGCAGCATCACTGGGGACTTCAGTTTGTGGCTACGGAACAGAGACAGCAGGAGCAGGACAGGAGAAAGCCACTTCACTGCACCTCACCTGGAAATCCTTCCCACAACCATTTTATAGCATTCACGCTATTTATTACATGGCCACTGTGGACCAGAAAATTCAGTTCCTCTGGTCCAGTCTGATTCTTACTGACTTGCACTACTACAATCTCAGCTTCTGGGAACATATATAAAATTTATTTAAAATTATTAATGTACTTAATTTTAATTTCAGCAAGGACATTTCTATCTTCCAGAAGTAAAAGTAGAACTGCAATGTGGGTTGGCTTAGCTGGGCTAAAATGGAGGGAAAATTCTTATTCTATTGCATCGCTCAGCAACTATGAGTTAAGTGAATCCTCACTAATGAACTATAGAATTCTCTATTCTGCCCCACAGTGAGCAGCACTAAGATAGGGACATCTTAATTTCAGGAAGCATTTTTGAACAGTGGGATTTAGTATTGGCTTTTTTTTTTACATTGGAGGACACTTAATTTTCTTTTCTTTTAAAGAATGTAATACATTTTAAAATGTAACGCAATGCAAGGTAGAATACTAGGATAACCCTCTCAGAATGGATAAATGAATTATAAAAACCACAAAAACAATGTATTCTTTTATTGAGTCATTAGTAAGAACCTGTTATAAATTAGGAAGTTTGAGGTTTGTGAACTCACATGATGCTGATGACCACTGCCACAACCAGGACGTGCTGTTCAATGACAAAGGTTCCAAGGAAACCCTGCTGGAGCATGCAGCCGGTTTAGAGGGAACGTGATAAATCCCTTTTTTTTTTAAATGTATTGCTCTGCTTTGCAAGGTTTCTTTTCTTTATTATTTTATACCCTTTAGGCCATAAAATAATAAATTAAAAAAAATAAAAACTTTGCAAAACTATGCAATATATTCCAAACTTACCAAAGGGCTGGCTCCATGCTCCAGCAGCTTTCCTAAGTAGCTTTGACCTCACAGAATGGGGCATTCTGGGGCACCACAGTGGAGCAGCCCAGCACAACGTCTAAGCACCTACAACAGGGATACAAGGTTAGTTTTTCTTTCAATGCCTCCTTTGGTCTAGTTAATAAAGGGATTAAAATGTACTTGTCATTTTAACTGCACCCAGCACAGGAGGTTGCCTTCTCCCTGCTGGGCCCCTAAAATGAACAGTTCCTATTTAACTCTCAAAACCCCCTAGCTGATCAAAAATTGAAGATCTAACTTCATTTCCATATGCCATTGGAAGTATTAATTTAGTTAATGGGAGTGATGACAGAGAAACATAAATTTAAGCAGAATCCTCTGAGGTAGAAATCTGGGTTGTAAAATGTTGGGGAGGATTTGGGTATGCTAAACTACAAAGAGTAAAATGCAAAGTTGCAAAGTTTTAAGTTATGAAGAGTAAGAGTCTAATAACCTCCAGGATGTATTTTTTGCTATCATCACATCAAATAATACTCATTTCTAAAATAGTAATGAAATGGAAATTAAGTTTGTAAGTGGAATTAATGAAGCTGTATCTGATGTCAGCTTTCTCTAAATGACAGTCGCAATTCTAGCAGCCTCCAATTTTTCTCGTTTTATAGAACACGAGATCAGTGGCAAAGAAGAGATTGACACGACGGTTCATAAGATTAGAGTGTTGCTGGCCTGATCTCAGTTCCTTCAACTCCCTCGTTTCCTTTCTCTTCTTTGAAAATGGTATAACATTTTCTATTCCGTCTATAAGCTACAGAGGGGCACAGACCTTGATTGTTTTCTCCCAAAAGCTTGCTCTCTTATTCACTTGCCAGTCATAAACAATCTTCTCCTAAAAGGCTGAATACTATCAGTACTGGGAAGGACCTAGGGGCAGCAAATGCTTATTTGTTGCAAATATGCTTCTGGAAGAAACAAAAGTTTCTGCTTTCAGGAGAGTCATGGGCAACAGAAATTACCTAGGTTTTGGACAGGTCAACATTCATCTGTATTTTATGGCTTTATAATGATGTTGCATAGAAGTTATTTGCGGATGCTCCATGTCCCAGCGTTATCCCATACAATAATTCACTCTGTAGCAGAACTCTCCTACATTGCTCTGCTGACTCTCTGAATGCATCATGGCAGATTTGGACTCACTGAATGCATCATGGCAGATTTGGCTTAGCCCCCTGCAGAGAACAGTGCTGGCATCAGGGCATGCTGGAACATGTGACTCTATACAAGAAATATTCAACTGACTTAAAAAATCAACATTTTAAAAATTTAAGAGTGATTTAATTAAAATCTCAAAATTTCTGAAAGGTTTTTCTGTGGTTTTTTGCAACCTCAATATTTTTATTTTTGTGTTGGGGAAATAAGATGTTGAAAAAATGATTTTTCAAAACAGAAATCTCTAATCCCTATGTAAAATCTGGAATACTATTAGGGCAAGTATAGTTTAAATCAAGAAAGACTGATCAAGAATGAATATGATAATACTGTTAATGTTTGACCCATTTAATATTTAACAACATGTATTTTAAAAGAGCAACAAAACAGGCCAATAGCCTACTTTTACAGAAACAGTACTTGCTGAAAACAAATTTTTGCAGTTGTTATCAAATAGTGCTTCCTTCAGGTATTTAGTAAATTGGTAAAAAGTTTATCCAGAGTATTTTTATTGCCCTGGATTATCTTCATTTTAGTAACTAAAAATAGCAGTACTGTTAACACCAAAGAACTTTCTACGGAGTAAGCAAAAATGTTAGACTTCTGTGACTCTAAGATGTCTTCATAAAAATGTGCTCCATTAACACTCCCATAGCTGTTTCCCTTTGCCTCTACATCAACCCAGTGAAGTTAAAAAAAAAAAAAAAGAAAGAAAAAAATCGATGGAACTGCTTTCAGTGCTGAACTGTAACTTCCCTGGAGTATAGAGATTGACAGAATTGTTAAATTTCTAAACTTCTTATTAACAAAAAAAGCTGATTCACATTTCACTAGAAATGTTTTTTTTCTGATAGCTTTGCTACTGCCCTAGAAGTAACCTTCTGCAAGAAAAGACACTTCCACGTTTCTGCAAAAATCATATCCATAAGTCCCACAAATGAGGAAGTCCCTGGTATCTACTCGTGCTTTCAGATTACAGAATGAAAAAGAGGACACCAGGAAACCACTTCCTTAAGGTAATATTGGTAGAGCGCTGCCCTCATCAAATAAAACTAGCTGGACTCTGCAGAGGCAGCGGTAAGACAGCAGGAGGTCAATGAGCAGCCATGCTGATGCTCTGCACTCGTAAGTCTAAATACCTATGGCCATGCCCTGCTCAAACAAAGCATATTCTCTGTACAGCACTCTCCATACATCTTCCAGCAATTCCAATTGCCTATGTCAGTCCCAGAGGTATTGTCTGTTCTTCCCATCCTTTTATCACTCACATCATCCGGTTTGTTGTGTTACAGCATAATGGAAACGGTATTTCAAAAGCATGAGGAGAAATCTCACCTGCAGAGGCACCAGAGGACAAACCCAAGTCCACAGTAGGGGTCCAAGCAGATAGCAACTTCTCTGGAGGGGTAAAGCTCACACTGCAGCTTAATAGAACGACAAAAGGCACTAGTGGCTGCATGAGACATCTGAAAGACAACAGCAAAGTAATGAAAATGATCAACTATGTCATTCGGAAGGCTCATTCCCAAACTGCGGTAAGTGCTTAAATCAGTTACATGATAAAGAAAACAAATAAATATTGACTTTGTGCTCAGTGTAAACACACATGTAATTTATATCTAAGAAACCATAATTTTCCTTCAAGAGGGCATCCAAATAACTGTGAAAGGGGAGGGGAGACAGAATGACTGATAAGTTTCAAGAGATTTAGGGAGAAAACTGCGAGTGGTTTAAAGATGTGCTCTAAGCTGTATACAAAGCTAATGATAACAAACTAAACTTTCTGGAAGAACAAAGGAATGAATGACTGCATGATCTGAATGTATTTTTTTGAACATCAGTAACATATTTCTAAGTACATATTTCTTAACACAATAAATAAAAAATGCCAATGCACTTTTTAAATTGAAGAGCATTTTGCAGGCAAAATGGTTATAAGGACCTAAACATTCAGTGATAAAGATCCCCAATAAACTTAGTAAAGGCTCTGTAAAATGTCTTCAAGTTATCCAGCTCCTACTTGAGAAACAGGCTCTTAAAATCTTGGTAAGAAAGCTCTCAGAGATAAAACAAGCAGAAAGTAGAAACAAAAAACCTGATCAAAAGTAAATTCTTCAGATTTTTTTTTCCAGTGAGGATGTTTCCCACACTCACACATCCTGGCTTAGAAGTTCTAACTACAGTGGGAACAGAATTACATCTTTTAATCTTTGTCTTCTCTGTTAATAACAAGAAAGATACCCATGTTAGAAATACAGCCTGGACAGGATTTAACTCATCTGACCTTTGATCTCTGCCATACACTGAGCTAGTTGCCTTATATACTGTTAGAGTCAATAGAGGGGAACAGGCACTTGGAAGGTAAAATTTATTTGATTTAAAGGTAAACAGGGGAATAAAGCTCCAGAAATGACCTTTTCTCCCTTGCCAATGAGAGCCATAACTGAGACTGGACATATTCCAAGTGATGCAAAAGGACCAGCTCAAAACAGGTGGCCACACAGTGATCATCTGCATTTTTCAGAGATTAATTCTACTCTGCTGAATCAAGACCACTTTTTCACACAGGATTAAACTGAACTCTATAGGTCCAGAAGTGGTATTATTCCGTGAATTTTTACACCATACTGGGTGCAAGCTATTGAAAAAGTTGAGAGTAAACGTAAGTGGAATCTACCTCTTCCAAAGTGATTACAAAACATTTATCAACTTTTTAGAAGCCACAGAAATTGTTTAGTGATTTTTTTTAATTTAGCACCACTGCATTATGAATATAAGCCTTGTGGCCTCTTATGATCCTTTTATAATTAATTAATCACTAGTGATGATCTAACAGATGGTAACTGTTTACATAAACCTGCTGAGTCAGTGATCTGGAGGCTTTGTGACCCAGATATCAGAAGTTAATCAAGAATTCCTTGACAGATTTATCTGGATTTCCCTTTAGCCACATTAAGAAAAGGTTTTCTGACTTGCCCTGCCTTTGACTATCTTTGAAGCTCTCCAAATACTGACTTTGCATAGTCAGGAGTCATTTCTGCAAGTCTGATAAGGTGGAATCCAGACCTGATTTAATATGGATGACTGCATCTGAAACAATCATTTAAGGCTCCCTTTCGAAGAAATGAAGACTTATGTGATATTCACCCCATTCAAAAATAGATGTTTCAGATAAGTCAGATAAATTACACCCTAAAAGCCCCTGCTTCTCTCTGTTGATTATTGAGGAGCCCAATGACTAGTCCACATCTGTAGGCACTGTAGCTATTTAAAGTTAGATGAAATGAATCTTCCAGGAATGTACAATGTGTGACCATCAACCAGCTCAGTCATTTAACCGTCAGTCAACCTCAGGCTGGTCACTTCATTATTCTGTGCTTCAAATTCTCCATCTGAAAACTGGGGGAAAAAAGGTGCTTGCTTTGTTTATAACGCATGCTGACAGCTTCTGAAAACAGATGGATGATGTGAAAGAGTATGAGGAATTCAATATAGGCTGTAAGTGTGATACATCAGCAGAGATTGCTGAAGTAATCATAATCCTTGGATACGGAACAGATAGGAGTAAGGAAGTAACAGGTAAGAATAAGAGAATGATTTTACCTCTGCCTGCTTGTTGGTGAAACCAACACTGGAATAATAGGTAAATTAGCAGCTAGTAAAACAGCTTTGATGAACTGTGGCTAGAGTAGAGGGTTGGAGAAAATGGCAGAATAGAGATTTAAAGAACTCAGGATGCCTGAGCTCATCAAACAAATCCATCGATGAATTTTTTGCTGCTTACTCTACTATTGTACCAGGTGAATATACCACAGACGGTAGCAGTTCCCTTAACTGCATGAAGAGAATATTGAAAAACAATAACCAGTAGTTGAGTTGCAATAATGAGGCAACAATGAATGGATGCTGAAACAAGTAGAAAAAGGATGACTGAGTCTCATTTTCTTCATAAAGTAGAAATAATAGATGTGTCAGTTAGATGTGCTTCAGGCAGACAAGTTAGCAGGCTATCCGCAGGGGTACTGGAATGAAATTTTTAGTCCGAAGAGGAGGAGAGGGCCTAAACTCGCCACACACAGTACCGTACTGAGTACAGAAGAATCAATTTAATGTTAATGGAATCAAAGAATGACTGCAAGGGAGGAAGCAATTCAATTTCTATTACCAAAAATCAAGAGGAGTTACAAATCAGGACCAATGTACCACCTGCCAGCCAGGCGTGATAGCAGAAATGCCAGCTTTAATGAGAAGTCCCTACCTTTACCCCTGCTAGCATGCCAGTTGTGGAGACACTGAAGTCAAGGTAAGCAAGCGTTTCAGGGTTAGAAGGTTTGTAGATCTGTGCAGGCCGCTTCTTTGGCAAATCGTCTAGTGAAAACAGAGAAAGAAAATGTGTGTATCTTACTCCCATGAGAGAGACACCTCTGAGTGTTTGACAAATACAATGATAAAAGAAAACACAGAGCTCCCCTAGCCTCAGTACTCACCTGTATCTAGTACCGGAGGCCATGTTCTGACATCCACCGCTGCCGCTGCCTCTCGCGACCGTAACAATTTACATATTAATTGTGTAGTCATTAAGCAGGCAGAGCGGCTCACCTAGGAATTTAAGAAATAAATAATAACGCAATGGGACACTGATTATTTCTCCCATGAAAATGAGCAAGACCATGATTTATTTTCTGCCAGAACAGAACACAGGTATATTAGTCTTACGTTTCCAAATCAGGAGGTGGAAAGATGCACAAAAAATGCAGCTCACAAAGCAGACAAAGTCATGTGAGTTTTACAAATTACACAAAAATTGCACTTTGAGAAGAGTGTTGTAATGAAACTAAAGGCACCTTAATAGTGAGAATGTGACTTTTCTAACACGTTTTATCAGTTATCAACCCAGCATGTCAGTACAGAAGACTATGACCAAAACATTTCCCATGTGATGGTAATATATCTTGGTTTATAAACAATATTTTCACATAAATCAAAACCTAACCTGACCTTTATATGAATAATTTTACTACCTTAAGTCGATTTTATGTTAGCCATATATTTCCAGTTCCTGTGCTAGTGATAAACCACTGGGAACAATTCTGATACCGGCAAAACTAGCTCTAGACCAGAAATTGTGCAAGTGGTACTAAGAAATGAAATGGTGAGTTTACTGCAAATACCATCTGCACTGAATTTTAGATGACACATGCTGAAGGCATTCTCCTTTTAGATTTGCTATTTTTAAAAATTGAGAAGTAGCAACTACCAGAATATTTCTTACTGATTATAAAAGTTAATATACTTAAGGAAATGTTCAGACAAACATAAATATGAATGCTGTTAATCACTGAAGATAGTATAGGGGAAAAACTGAAAAGGCAGCATCATTCTTCTTTTCCCCGCACTTTGAGAATATGTGCAAATATTGGTGGTTGTTTTTTTTTTAAGGAATTTGAAACATTTCATTGCACACTGAATTTCCACCATTCAACCTAAGGATACCTGTAACCATATGTACAGTAAATTTTATGACTGAGTAGAAAAGATCAGCTTCTGTTGACAGTAATCTCATGGAGGTCAACTTTATAGAGCACATGAGGAAATTAGGAGCATACAAGCACTCACCCAAGCTCTACTTACTTCCTCTAACGCCATGATTTCCCTGTATGGACAATCTAAATATTTCAAACTAAAAGTCAAGACAAATGAAGCCACGGTAGCATCCCTCAATCCAATCATGTCACTGTCATGGCAAGACAAGGCAATTCTTACATAGCTAATCTTAATCTATGAAAATCTTGACCTGGGACATAGTGAAGCCATAAAACAAAAGGAATTTCAAGAGTTGGTGGTTACTGGCCCTCTCAGGAATTGTATTGTCTTGAAGATCAGGAGATTCATTAAAATACAGAATGTCCATGCCCAGAGAATAGCAAGTTGGAGGTAAACAGGTAGGGATGGTGGGAAGGAGGAAGAAGACATCTTAGCTACAGGTTAGCAACTGCTCGAGATAGGGCTCACCAATGTTCAGTTATGTTTTACTACTACCAGTTCATCATTATGTAGGCCAAATTTTGCTCAGAAGTTATTCTTGCTGTCTTCAAAAGGTGCTGTGTAGACAATATAGCATGTCAGAGAAGGCTTTGACCCTATCACACCAGGAAATTTGGATGATTGCATTGGCAATGAAAGAGCCTCAATATTTTAATTTCTACAAGGTCATCCCTCTCCAAAATGAAAGAAATCTTGTGTAAAACAGAGCTGAGAGGCTTTTAAGTCAAACTGGCATTAATATGGCTAAGAAATGTAAACATTTTATTTAAAGTTAGTCTATTGAAGGGACGATGATTACAAGTCAGCTTAGACCTGTCCTAGTTTTTCATCATGAAACCAAACAGATCTAGTTGGGCTATTAAACATCAAATGAAAACCAAAATAACACATTTTACATCACTTCTCTAATTTTAACAACTGATGTTTAAAAACTGTGAGTGCCAAAATATTAAATAATGAGAACTCTGATGACAATAGGACAATTTCTCATACCTTTACTGATACTTTGTGGCATCTGATGTCATAAGGAAAGCCACAAATTATAACTACCTCTAGACTTACTACTCGAAAATATGAACAATAATTAGAAATGCTAAAATCACATTTGTTTCAACTTGGTTTTGCAGAGACTCAGAATTCCTTTCAATAGATTAGAAACTGCCAGGTGTAAAAGGCTATCTCTTTGCAACCATTTTATTTCCCTCAGTAACAAGCACAATGCAGTTATTTACATGCAACAAAGACTAAACGTTATTAGATAAAGCCAAACTACCAAAAGAAAGCACTGAATGAAAAAGTCTGAGTAACACTTCTATGGATGAAACAAATTTCTAACCAACATCTTCCCAACAGAACTTTGAAATTGCTTCAAACTGCAAAACAATTAGACGTACAGAGGTGAGCACAAATCACAATCAGGTCAAGCTAAGCTTTCCATTGGGATTTTTCCCAATATTCAGTGTAGCGTTGCCAGGTGAGGAATCCTACCATTCTTGGCATATAGCTAAACACAAGAAAGCACTTCAAATATATTTCTTGAAAGGAGTAGCATAACTGTGGCAAAATGTGACAGCGGAAGTCAGAAGGTTGTGTGCTGTCAAGCAGTGTTGACTCTGCAACACGCTGAAGTTCTGAATGTTTGGAAGGAATACAACTCTTCAACCTACACCATCACTCAAGTTACCATTCCTAAAGATATGCAAATCCATCGTCCATTTAATCTACTTGTGCACTTGCAGGTGTCTGCTCACCTCCACAATCATCTTCACTGTAGGTAACGTGGTAGCTATGTTCTGAGGATGTGGAGGTCGAACTGTTATTGGCACACAGCCTGCATACAGGCATCCATAAAATGCGGCAATCAGGTCTATTCCTGCATGAAGAACAAAACAAAAATCCTCCCCTGAAAATCAAATAATGTAATCACAGACACCTATGTCAGCATAAATATTACTTGGAACTCAACTCAGAAGGTTAAATGAGCGACTAAGCCCTTTAACAGACTTCTTTTTCAGCCCCTTGTCAGTATTTGTTCAGTTTCACTGAATCCTTTCAATTGTACTGTTCTTCTGAGCATGAAAAACCAAAGGCGACACACAAAGCTGCAGCCAGATACCATCATTTAGGTGAACTCCACTTTTATTATCAGGAACTACCCTGTTAAAAAGACTGATTTCTACAGATTAATTATCTTCCTAAATTTACATTTATAGACAAATGAGAGTCTGCAAAACAGGGATGCCCCAGCAAAAGGATGAGGTAGGATGATGCCTGTTCCTATCAGCTGCAGAAAGAACATCTGGAGGTTTCATTAAATACCTTCTCATGCAATTTTTAACCTCAGACATGCAGCTTTGACTTATCTACCTGAAATTTTACAGTAAAAAAGGGAGTCATGATTTTGAAATCCTGCTTCTAACATAAAATTAGGTATTGTTCTATAACAATATTGACTGCAGGTGACAGATTGTGGACAGCGAACTTCAGGCTATCCAAAGATCCCTTGAACACTGTTGTTTGATAGCTCCCTGGTGCTGTGCACAGGCTGTGATAAGATGACAATGGGGGCTGTTTTATTCTTTCTGTGCAAAAGGATCTGCAGTACTGGTAGGTTATTGTTCCTTCAATAAAATGCTTTATTCATGGGAAGTGAAATACACAAAATAAAAACTTAAGTTTAAAATACTAGAGTTTTTTTGTGGAAAAGGTTTTCTCATCTTAACCGTTGAGGAATTACTCCTATAAACTACAAAGATTTAACCAGTATCTTGCAGCCCGTACAAACTAAGTATCACAATACAGACCTTAAATCAGACTGTTTACTTCACCAACACACATGAAATGCTAAAGATAAAAGAGCAGCACTAGATCAGAAATAATTTCAAGCAAATGTCAAACATGGTATCAGTTAATATAAGTTTAAAAGCCCTTATGTCGAAGGATGAAAATCCAAGCCACAGAGAGCTGTCTAGGTTAAAGATCTGTAGAGAAAATAGTGATTATAATTTGGTCTTTCTTAATCATCTGTATATATTTATTCATCATATTTTTACTCTAAAAAAACATGGATTACTTCTTAGGTATTGCTGCTTTACCCTCAGCACTTCCAAGAGGAAATTGCCCAGAGAAGCTGTGGATGCCCCATCCCTGGAAGTGTTCAAGGCCAGGTTGGATGGGGCTTTGGGCAACCTGGTCTAGTAGAGGGTGTCCCTGCCCATGGCAGGGGGGTTGGAACTAGATGATCTCTGAGTTCCCTTCCAACCCAAACCATTCTGTGATTCTATGAATTCAACAGATGAATCTAAGAACACTCAGCAGATGGAATATTTTAGCAGAACTGTGTGCTCATAAAATAGTGTATTTCCAGCAAATTAAAACAAAAGCAACAATTAAATTTGACTGCTTATAAGAGACAGATTTTAGAAACACAGATTAATTTTAATCTGAACCCAAAGAAATAACATCTATGCGCATACACAAAGAGAAATTCTTTTAAGTATGTTTGGTTAAGTTTAAAGAAAGTTACACAAGGCAAATATTTTGTGTTTTGCCAATTAACACGGTTTACAGGTTGGTAACACCACCAATGCAGCACCATTCTAAAGGATCTTGATAAACTTTCAGGACTACCAAGGCAGTGAACATGGCAGTTCTTTACCTGGTGGGTAAACCAAAGCCACGTGGTCTCCATCTTGTAAATGTCCCCTTTCCATCAACATGACAGCTATCTTCTCGGCTCGTTTATGTAGCTGGACACATGTTAGTGAGTTGGCTATTGTTCCCTGCACAGGAAGAAAGATAAATGTCACAGAAGATAATGCACTGTGCTGAAACTCTATTTTCCTCTGCACCTTAGAAGTTATTGGATGAGGTGCAGCCACAATATGTCACGCAATCAACTTAAATACGGAAACCTTCAGCCTTACGCCAAACCGTAGTTGGAAGAAAAAAGATGTTTGTAAAGCAGAGGAACATTCTCTCTTCCTTTCTCTGTACCCTCTGCCCTCAACAGTGTTTTTGCTCTAACCAGGAGAGTACAGTAGTATGGTAATATCCTGCCCATGTAACCTGTATTTCCCTTGCTACACAGGCAGCATTCCTGCTCTGGCCAGGAAAGGGGCACTATGGTCTTTGC